GGCCGTGTACTAGAGTGATTAGCCTTTGGGGCAGCTCTTGGTACGTATGACCAGATTATCAGATTTGAATAACTTTACCTTGTACATCGAGATTACTCTGTACATGAGTAATGATATTCATTGGGTACTTATTGTTGTGACTCTTTAGTATATCATATTGTGTTTAGTCAGTTGTAGATTCGCAGATTTTCAAATATCATATAATAGTTCATTTTAAAATATAGAATCCAGATTATTCAATTACAGAAATACGATTTTAACTTACAGAAATGACAACTTTACACAAATTTTTGTTGATATTAGATTGTTTATACTCGACATATTTTACAGTTGGTTATTCAGAATAAAGAGTAAGAATTTTATGATTTTAGCATGTTTCAGTTTTAAAAGAAATTATTAGAATTTAGAATTTCTTAAAGTTGTAAAAAAAAAAAAATCAGATTTTTCAATAAATATGTATAAATAGAAAAAGTACATGTATTTGCGAATGAACCACTCAATCAATTACAAGCTCATATATTTTGTCATATTTTTGCTATTAGGAAGCCGCGGAATTTGAGATACCTGGAAAGCTTGCTGAAGTCAGGAGCCTAGTTACCTGTCATTTAGTTGCATGATCTTAGCCATATCATAACTTGTAATGTATAGTTGGGAACTCATGTCTAGTAAACACTTTGTCTAATATTTTGTTTGATGTGCACTTCGTCTATGGGTTGTTACAATTGATGTAATGCATCTATGTAGACATAATGTTTTGTAGTAGAAATGCACAGTCGAGTTTTGTTTTATTTTGATTTAGTTGTGATGTTATTGGTGGAACTAGTGGTTCCCAAAATATTTGGTATAAATGTCTATATGAGGTTTTTGTTGATTTTCAAGTTGTTTTGTCTAATTCACAGGAAAACTCTGTCAAAATTTTTTGACAAAAATATTGTAGTCATAGAATAGTCAACCAGTTGTAGAACAATCTATGTGGCCTTGGTGGTGGGTCCAGCATCTAGCTGGAACTCATCATCGGTGCACGCCACGTCTGGGTCAACTAGGATGACTCGAGACGATGTCGTGTCAAAATCCGTTGAAACAAACTTCTTGTGTAACATGACGCAAACTTGAATTAAAAGAAGGGTCTTGCAAATAGAACGCGGGCAAACGGCTCATGAATGGAAGATCAAAGCTATGTAGACCTTGTATTTCTTCGCCGTCGACGGTCACTCCAGTGAAGATGGAGAATATGGAAGACGTGGAGCCGCAGAGATGCCTGTTTCAATCGCCACTCAAGGGTTTCGATGATTTTACATGAAAATAGTGTAGTAATGGGTTTAGAATTTGGGCCAGTTTTCAAACAATTTCACATTTTAGTTTTTTTTTTTTAACCTCCGCGTCACCCTTTCAACCAACGTGTTAAGTTCTTCTGTTACAGTAGCGCGATCGTTCTGAAAAATGAGACTACCCAAAGCTGAAAAACATAATATTTTCTTGTCTTGCAATCAAATCTATTATGAATGACTGATATGGACATTATTCATGACGCCGGTCTTTGTACATAATATTCTACATTCCCTTGACTGTCATTGCTACAACCAGATCTAATTATTCTATCAGTTTCCCAAAGTACAAGAACACAGGAACTAGGATCGTTTGTATATACTTGTACTTTAACTTTTGGACTTCTAAGTTTGGTGTCCAAATAATTAAAGATGGACGTTGAGATTGAGCTGGAGCTGGTTAAAGTTTGATCTTTTGTCCAAAATCAATGATTCTTGAAAAGAATATGAATTTACTTGAGTGGTGAAGGGAAAGGCTAAATAAGTTGTGCTTTCTAACAGTTGTAAACCCAGCTGTAGTAAATGCTGCTGATTAGTAATACCTAAATTGCTAACTTGATTTGGTGACTGATGTTATTATGCAGGTTCAGATGCAGTTCTTATTGAAAGTGAAGCAGTGCTCTCAAGTAGATAACAACCAATGGTATGTATCATTTTGCGATCCTCAATCTCAATCATCATCCTAGTCAAATACTTGGATATGTTTAGATCTTATTTTGTGGTTTTTTGGAAGTCGTCCAACTTTTGTTTTCTATGTAATGGTATGATACTGATACTGTGTAAATGGGTTTTTCTTTATGATTATTTCTTGCATTTTTGTAGCTGGATCCCTTGTGCATACTCGATACGCTTGGTCAATTAACTATTCGTTATGTATACTCGGTTTACTCTGTGTAGGTACTTGATACATATGAATGTGGCTTGTGTGCATTTAAGATGCATTTTGAAACATCCGAAGTTGATGATTATGTTTGTGAAATTGTGGGTGGGTACCCAGCGGTGGGAAGAAAGTATATATAAGAAGAGTGTAACATGTGAATAAATTGAAAACTGCCATTTTCCTTAGTTAAGCTGACGAACCTATACGTGTTGCTTCGCCTTTCCTTCAACTACATGAGATGTAATGCTTTTATGAGTCCGCCCCACAAAGAAAAAAAATAAAATAAAAATAAGAAGTGTCTCTTTGATAGAGTCAAGCACCTTTTTTAACCATAAGTTGTGATTCATCGCTCATAAACTTGCTATGAACGCTACACGTAGTACGTTGATGTTGCATCCGGAGCTGGATGCATATAGTTTTTATGGATTTGCATCACATCTTTGTTGTATCATTTGTATAGACAGTCAACTTTTTATTTCTTTCGCCAAACGTTTCGAAATAAAAATTTTATTTATTAATTTGTAATTCATTGAATAAATGTAACATTTTACCCGAGGCAGCCCCAAGTCCATAACTTGATAACTTTTCTACTTGTTAAGCTTAAAATAAAAAAATGATTTCATGACCATTTTTGTGACCCAAATTCCAATTACATTAATAATCCCAAAGCAAAAGTAGCAACTTTTTCTTCCCCAAGCTTCCAAGTCAAAGGTTCATAAGTGACCCTTTAAATGTATACTTATTTTATAGGCTAGTAATTATTTAGAAAATAGAATAAAATTAATGTGTCTTTTGCTTTGTTTCTTATTCATATCCAATGAATGGTGTGGTCAGAACAAATCACTATCCACTAATTGTTAGAAGAATTTTGCTCATTATACATTAAAAAAAATGTGCATAATATATTACAGAATATGATGTAAAAGGAAAAGACTGGGTGAACAAGTTGAGTGTATTTGGAACTGACAAATGATAAAATATCATGTGATATTATTTAAATTTTGATGTACATGTAGCAAGATCTCTGTTCTGTTCATATACGTTAATTAATTAAAGGCTAGTTGATTTGTTAATTTCACCAATACGTGTCAATTTTCAGAAAGCAACAAAAATTAGCAGCAGTTCCAAGGTGCGGCGTTCGGCGCAAAAAATATTTTATAAAGTGATAGAAACAAACTCATTTTCAACAAAGGACATATTTTTATGTATATTATTTCATTAAGAGGCTTCTATCATTCTATCATTCACCCTTCATTCTCGCCCATATCAACTGGTCTAGTATGATATAGCCAATAGTTGTACGCTAAAAAATTGAGATCACTTATGTGGATCTTTTACTTTATTATCGAATGGTCTAAAGTAATTAGATTATTAACAATTATAGCAAGATATATGATGTAGTGTATTGTCACTATTTAGTAAAAAAAAATTGCAATTTATGACAGAGGTTCAATCCATCCAACAGATATGCATGAGTATGGACTTAAACACGAAACATTCCGCTCTGATACCAACTCATCTACGATATTGTCACCATTTTATTCAAAAATTATAGCTTATGGTGTAATACAATCCACCCAGAATCAAGCACAAAAATTCACTCCAAGTCCACTCCCTTATGGCAGATCCTGTTTCAAGTGTACTCGTACTCGTACGATAATATGTTAATTTCAATCTACCATTTTTCCTTGTTGTTCTACTGTAATAACCTCTTTCATGAACGCAAATTTGAGGTTCAGGTCATAAAATTTGATAAAGGTTTGCAGTGATGGTCAACCTACTGCAATCCCACTATTTTCAAGTGGTGATGATCTCGAATCAATTAAATATTTTAAGATTTTAACATTAAAGTAATTGTCAATATATTACAACAAAGAAAATACTAGTCTAAAGGTTTAGAAACATTAAAGAAGCACAACCACATCGCATAACCCATTTATAAATGTTTCCTTAGAACCGTACACACATACTTTCCATGTCCCCTCTTCAGACCCTTTATAAGAACAAGAAACCCCACTTCACCCCCTACCCCATATTCATCTCTCTTCATATCTGCACCATTTTCTAGTGTGCCCGTGTGCTTGTATTGTTTTAAAACTTCAAATCTTGTTTTATCTCTCTATATATTCTGTCAGAAATATATGGCAACTGGTACTGGATCTCCTTGTGGTGCATGCAAGTTTCTCCGTCGCAAGTGCGCGGTCGATTGCATATTTGCCCCTTATTTTTGCTCCGAGCAAGGGCCGGCAAGATTCGCAGCCATTCATAAGGTATTTGGTGCCAGTAATGTGTCGAAATTGTTGCTGCACATTCCCGCGGCTGATAGATGTGAGGCTGTTGTTACTATTGCTTATGAGGCTCAAGCCAGGATTCGAGATCCCGTTTATGGTTGTGTCTCTCATATTTTTGCCTTGCAACAACAGGTAATTCACTTTCCTCTCTATCTTTTTGTGCCCGGATGTGTGAAAAAATGCAGATGCACCCAGACTGAGTTTATTTTTCAACCAAAAACTCGAAATGTTGACTTTTTTGGGCTTGAAATTTTGGTAGGTGGCTTATTTGCAAGCTCAACTGATGCAAGTGAAGGCTCAGCTAGCACAAAATCTGATTGAGTCAAGGAATCAAGAAAATCAATGGCCAGGCTGCAACATTAATGGTGGAATGGCATCATCATTTCAAAATTTTCCATCAAATTACATGAATTCTTCTTCGATCTCACCTCAGAGCTCACTTGACTCAATTGATCATCATCACAGAAATATCGGCATGCAAGATTTTGAAAGCACCAGAGATGAAGTCACATTTCAAACATATTATAGCAAGAAAAGACCTTCACAGACTGACTTGAGTGAGCTTCAAGCACTGGCTCTCAGAATGATGAAACACTGATGTTTTATTTTGATGTTAACGATTGAAATCTTTTCCTAAATGATTGTATATATGGAGATTATGACAAGTTTGTTATAGTATAATATGTTATGAAGCCTAAAATAGGCATTTTCCCTCTTAATTCAGATTATAATTCATCTTATCAGCTGAGAATTAAGGTACAAATCATTCTCTTTCTCTCTCTTCATTTCTCTTTATTGGTCATGAACTTTTAATCAACAACATAATTTTTTGTTGTAAAAAGTCATTTTAGGTTGTTTCGTCCAAAAATGGTCGTCCAGAAACTTTTCAAGACAAAATTTTTCGTGACTAAAACTGAAATTTCGTTTAGCATGAACTAAGTTGTGATAATCAAGGTTTGACGTGCTATTTAGTATGAACAACAAAAATTGGGGCACCGGACTTGACATTTAATGGAAACCTTGGTAGTTGAGTTGACTTTTGTCATCCTTGGGCATTTTTCAAGTTAATAATTAACTAAGAGTTGTATAAAATATTAAATGGTAAGTACGTTTAAATTAGTAAAATTTACATGCATTATTGGAGTTTGCACCCCCCTCTGTCGTATATGGAAAAGAAAAGTGACAGACACGTGAAGTGAAGATTACCAGTAATCATGATTGAGCATGTTCAAAGACGAACAAGAAAAAAACATATTGATTTGACAGTACTTGTTTGGAGTTTTTTTTTTTCAAAATTATCTAATCATGTATCGACATGTGTCTTCCATATTATTGAGCCTACTTGTATAACACGATTAAAAGATTAATAACAAAGTGATGAAGATTCCATACCCTGCAGATAATCGAATCAAGACCAATAATGGAGAAAACCCTCTCACAGTTTTACTCAATTTTAATCAAAGGTGTTCACGAATGTATTCAACTATTAAAAATATATTTAGTCATTAAATGTATTATTTTAGCACCTAAATAACTAGTTATAAAAGGTTTGTAATAACAACCAATTCATTTTTCAACAATCACTATCGTTAAAATACAACGTATTTTAGTTGTTTTCCATTTCAACAACGAGAGAAATGATCGTAAAAAAATTAAAATTGACAACCAATTTTATTTCAACAACTAAAATTTATTTGACTTTCTTTTCAACAACGAAAGAAGTGATTGTAAAAAGTTTATATTAATAATCGAAATCTTAAAATAAAGAGAAATATGGTTGTCAACAATAATATTAATGGATTTATAATTTTAACACATTCACGTCATACTATAAGCAAATCTTACCCACAATCATAAACAATTATATAAAATGAAGAAATGCAATTAAATTGTCCTGGGCGTTGAATAAATTAAAATATCTCAATAGCAACTACAAATATATATTAATTATATGAAATATCGTGACTTAAACAAAAGATTACATCTAGTTCAACCAATTATGTTCTCGACATAAAAACATGGTGATGTAGAGTTAGATACTATTGCTCCCATAGCAGAAAGTATTACCACGTCACACAAAATAAATTCAAAAAAAATAAAATTTAATTATAATCATTTAAATCATTGGATGGAGATGCATCAAGTTGAGTATGCCGAAAAAGAAACTCTTCCGGAATGCGACTTAAGAATGTCGTCACATATTTCAATTGAGAACGAAGATCTATAACCTCATTTTGTAAAGCAGCATTCTCTACACAAGTACTACAAATTTCAACCTACTCTTCTTTGAGTTTTTCTTTTAATCAATGTAGATAAATCTCTTTTAATCGTCAACCCGCTCCTTTAATCATCAAATAAAGTTACTTACATAATGAGACTCCGCTCCTTTAATCGTCAACCCGCGTTCATTGTTACAGTGCATCTCAAAGAAAAATCTGATGTGACCTGATAGCTCTTTTGTAAGCGAATCTCTCCATTTAAAAGAAATAGAATGGTGTATCAAATTCATGAAATAAAATATTGTATCATTATTAATGACTTGCCATTTCATGTGCAACATAAGATTTCGATTCTTGAAGAGTTACTAATTTATTTATTTATTTATTTGCACGATTTTCTTTACTGACTTCAAACTTTTTTTTGCAAAAACATATGTATCACAATAACAATCAAATCGAAAAATACATAAAAAGAAGACGAAAACAATAAAGATCATAATGTTAAGAGCCAACCCATCTACAAACACTAGACTTAACTCAAGTAATATGTGAATATCAACTATATAAATTTCACACACATCAAAAGGGTTCCAATTAACAACTATAATCACAAGTTACTATTCTACTTGTTCGATGAATTTGCTTTCAATTAAGACATAGATTTCTTCAAGAACATGCAATAAAATAGTATCATTGAACAGTACCAACCTTCATCTCATCACTTGAAAATAATCACATGGAAATCCCAATCACTTTGCACTACTATAGATTTCTTTTTGCAAGTCTAGTATCTTCATTCCACCCATGCCTTCAAACTTTTTTATGCAATCTACAACGATATTCCTTTTTCTTTTTGTTCATTGAATGTTGAATAGTATCTTTGACTGGCTGGTTCAACTCGAACTCAATTTTTTCTTCAAAAAATTATTAGAGAAAAACTCGCACATATACATAATAAAGGGTGACATATAAAGTGAAGGAGAAGTAAAATCAGATAATCCAAAAGTGGAGTCTTAGATGTATCGCCAATCTCTTTCACTAGAGGTGCCATTGAAGTAACAATACCATAAATCATAGATGATTCGATATCAACACCACTTGAAAATAGTGGGATCGTAGTAGGTTGACCATCCCTTCAAATTACCTTTATCAAAAAGTGGTTTTAGATGCATCACCAATCTCTTTCCATTTTTTACAGCTAGAGGTGCCAAATAAAACCAACTAGAGTCTTAGATGCATCGCCAATCTCTTTCCATTTTTTAAAAAATACCATGAAAACCCTACGAAAAGCAAAAGACAAAATCGTCCCTAAAATAAGACAAATAAAAATAACAAAATATCAAGATAATTAGACGGACCACTCTATGGGTCGGCCAGCCATCCTAAGGTGCTGAACCATGCCTCTTCTACTTATTTGATGTTCCATTTGTCCAGAAAGATCCATGTGGTTTCATCCCCATCATTTTCCTCAGGGTTAAGATGATATGATCTCGAATCAAAATCGGTTTCATCCCACATCAAAAAGAATTCTTACTAATGTCCTATCCAAATTTAGTCATAGAACAAATTCTTCTATGTTTTATTTGACTTTAAATCACGCACTTGAATTCATGATTATTAAACTTGGAGTTCCATTTTAAAAGATCAAATTTTATTAAGATGAGTATTATCAATCCTTGTTCTATATTTCTGTATCTGAGTGGATCATCCCTTAATAAGTTCCACAAAATGGTGATTTGTTTGAGTGGATCAATTTTAAAATTCGCATGCTTGAGTTTTAATCGAATCCGATTACACGTTTGAGGTTAATGAACTTTGATACCAAATTAAAATTTCAACTTTGTTAAGAGAAATAATTCAAATTTTTATGTGCCTGTGTGTGAGCGTGTGTGTATGTATGTATGTATGTATGTATGTATTTAATTGACAATGGTAGGTATATTAGATTAGTTAAAATTGAATAAAATAAAGCTAGCATGAGTGTTGTATAAAATATTTGCTTATTTTCGTTTCTAGTCGAGCTCAATGTAAATTATCGAGCATGTTATTAGTCTTGTTTATGAATATGGTTGATGCAAAATTAATATTAATTTTTGTAGGTTGCAATGAATAGATTTTCCCAGACACACGTGAGGTATCATCGCAATTATTTTGCCTAAGAAAGCTATGTTCATAAAGCATTTAATTGTCTATTAAGTTAGGAACCAAAATTTGAAAATTACAGAAAAAAGGTTAATGTTATCATTGTTGTTGAAGCAAACACACGTTGAGATGAATTAAATATAATCGTGGGTCCAATTGCTTAGGGTTTATGTTATATAAAGTAGGTTTACCAAATGGCATATTATGTATGATTAATAAAAAACTTTGTACTCAAATTAACAGACCAAATGTTCCTTCATAATTTAAGTTGATTGGGAAAGTTTACCAACTTAATCGAATAAACCACATTTCGAGTAAATTCTGTATTTGAAATTAAGTGATTGTGAATTTAATTAGGTGATGAAATAAACTAAAATAAAACGATTAATCGATATTTAGCTACAACGTTTGCAATTGTTTAAATCTTTATTGTGCTAATTATAAATTGATTTCGTATCAATAACAGTAGTCCCATCCTCTGTAAAATTTAAAAAATAAATTATTAGCAAAAAAATTTCAATTTCTAAAGTTCATAACTTGAAGAGTACTTAAAAATAAAATTAATGAAATTAAGTGCAAAAAAAAAAAAAAAACCCCAAAAAATATTAATAGTAGAAGTCCTTAATAAAGGGTTTTAATTGAGAATAAGAAATTAATTGTGTTGGGATGCGAAGCCAATTTCTAGATTTACTTTCCAGAAGTATAAAAAATAACAAAATATTAAAAAGAAAAAATGCAATAATAACAATTAGAAATGCTGAAAAGCTTGTGTACGTAGAAAATTTCAGAGCGTGAGAAAAATTATGCCCTTAAAAAATTAACAAATTCAACGTGTATTTGTTGAATTTTAATGCAATGTTTCTTTTGCTACTATTGTTAAGAATTGTGGTTCTATACTAAAAGGTCAACTTTTTTTTTTTTTTAAATGAGTAACCAAATCCTTTATAAGTTGGTTTATGTTTACATCTTTATTCAATGTGTGCTCCCGCAAGATGGTGGCTCGTTTGAGCAGACCAATATTGAAATTCGTATACTCACTTTTGGAATCTTAATCGGATCAAATTACTCGTTAGAGTTTAATGAGCTCTGATACCATGTTATTACATATTAAAAGGTCAACCTTTTTAAAAGAAGTAACTCAATCGTTTATAAGTTAGTTCATGTTTACATTTTTATTCGATGCGGAATTTTATTCCTTAATAACTATAGCACACAAGTATAAAACAATTTTGATGCA